CCCCAAAACCCCAAAACCCCATAATGCATTTAATATAAATAAGAGTATTTGAAGTTTCTTAAATTAATCAAAAATCTAAAGCAATATCACTTATTTTTTTTGTTTTTTTCAGGTGATTTATTGTAGATATTGCTAAGAATCATGTTTTGGGATGTATATAGTAAGGGTATTCCTCTCGTTGATGACTTAACATTAGTTTAAACTGAGCTGGGAACTTATGAAGATACTAAACTTGGTGGTGAAAAGCATCTTTCATGAGACTCTAGCATTTTATTTCCAAAATTATGAAGTGTGCTTTATTAATAAATCTCTTAGAATACCTATTCTTCTTTGGCAATATCTTTAATTTCATCGTAATCAATTGCATACTAATCTTCAACTTATGCCTTCAACTATTTAAACTTTGAATTTATGACTTATTCAACTGCTTGTTACTCTCTTTAAATCATTAAATTTAGAGCACCAGCTACATTTTATTCCACTTATTTCATCTCAATCTAAATCAAGTCCAAATCGATACTATATTTTGATTTTAAATTTCTCAAGTTAGAATATATAGAATTCCAATTGCTGAAATCAGTTTCAACAAGACTTACGTCCTTGAGCACATCTTAAAGATGTCTTTGAATAAATTTAAGGTAAATCTACTTCATCATCTAATCTAGCTTAGCATTCAAATCAAATTACATCTATTGAAATATCTCCTTATCAATATTGGCCTCTTTATTAATTATTTTTACCAGTTCTCTAAACATTGGTAGGGGTTTGACCTCAATTGAGTTCAATGTATAAACTTACGATACCATATCATAATTTTCCTCATCAATATTAATCTCTTTGCCATTTTAGTCTTATGATGAGATATTTGACTGTTCATTTTCTTAATTATGAAACACATCAATCAAGCAGTTTTTAATGTGTAACTTCCTTGCTTTAATGTAAAGCTTAAAGACTCTATTATTCGAGTAGCAAGATAGCAAGGATTTCAAGAGTGGACATATTTACTCGGATGAATTCATGAAGCCTATATTCAAAATGACTTTAGTGTCGATTCTTTTGATCAAATTGTTAAACTCTTCAAGTACCTTGTTTTCTTACTTTACTTCATGAAAGATTATCTAGTCTTGACTGAATTAATCTTAATTGATTGATGTTGAGACATAGTTGTGTCTTCTAAAAAAGTAGTTCAGATTAATTGATGCAAGTTAAAGAAACTTACCTATTATGATTGGCTTGATCAAAATCAGGCGAAAGAGAAATATTGAAAATTACAAGCTATAGTTCACTCAGCGCTCTATTCATGTCTAAAACTTATACCCTCGAAACCTTTTCTATCTATGTGATTATCTATTCATTAATTTAAGCATTACTTCGGTGATTCTTAAGATAGTTTTATCTAAATGAAGTATTTTCTACTAATGATTATCTTACATCTATTCAATTATATCGTTTTTATTTATCATAACAAACGGTATCTGAGAATCTTTCTATAACTAAGCTTCTAGATCATTTAGTTTGCCTTTCAAAAGCCTCTCACTCTAGAATATTTCGTTCTCAAAGTCTTTAAAATTCGAGATATCTAGTAATTTATCAAGCACTTTCTATAAATAGCTATTAACTCAGTCAATTTTAGTAACTTACTTAATCCATTTTGATTTGAATTATAATTTTCAACAATGCTTCATAAATATTTATTGTTGCGGGGTTTTGGGGTTTTGGGGTTTTGGGG